TTTATGAAAAAGAAAAAATATTTCTGTGCGAACTAGAACAACAGTCAGGCAACAATTACCAATGGACTGGCAGGATAAAAATGCATCTTTTCTAAAATATGTGACAGCTATTATTGACAAAAAAAAATTATTCGGTCACAGATAATAAATATGGATGAAACGCCGTTAGCTTTCGACTCTCCTGCAAACAGAACTGTTGATGAAACTGGTGCAAAAACTGTCTCTGTGTTTATGACGGGGCATGAAAGAACGTCATTTACATGTGTGTTAGCTTGAGCCGCAAATGGTGACAAGCTAACGCCGATGATCATTTTTAAACGAAAGATTTTCCTAATGATGTAATTATTTCTGCAAACGAGAATGGCTAGATGTGCGAAACAATTATGCATGAGTGGGTACAAAAAGTTTGGCAGTGTCGTATGGGATCTTTTTTCCAACCAAAGGGGTTATTGATAATGGATTCCATGCGTGCTCATTTCTTTGAGTCAGTGAAAACCAGATGTCAAAAATTGTCTACGACCGAAGCAATAATTCCTGGTGGTTTGACAAAATCTTACAACCGTTAGATTTGTCAGGTAATAAATCCTTCAAAGCTGAAATCCGAAAGCGGTGGGAGTGTTGGATGAGTGAAGGATTGCATACGTAAACCAAAAGCGGTAAAATGCGTAGAGCATCTTATGAAGAAATCGCAAAGTGGGCAGGAAGTACATGGAAATCGGTAGAAACATCGTCAATAATAGCAGGGTTCAAAGAAGCTGAAATTATATCCTTAGATAAAGAGACTGTAAACCAAGAGGATGAATGCGACGATCTGGAAGACTTAGATCAGGATTTACTAAATCTTTTTAATTCAGATAGTGAAGAATCAGATTTTGATGGCTTCATATGATGTATAGTTTGCTGTAATTTGTAAGGTAAATTTAAAATTTCCTTTTGTCATCCAAATTTAATATTTCGTTGTTGCAACATTTTTTATAATATAGTCTGAGTATTACAAATATGGACTTCTTTAGGTGGGTATATAAGTATATACGTGAAGGTAAATATATTTTCCACATTTCTTACCTTTAATTTATTTTTGAGTTATGGTTTCATTTCATGCATTTTTCTTAACTGGTATGTCATATGTCAGGACTTAGGTTGAGTTTTTGCATCTATACGGCCCACGACGATGTCACGTGCAATTTAATCTATTGCGGCGTTTCTGTGTAATTTTAATTTTTTTCCCCTCCATTTTTCTCGAGTGCGGCGTTTGCGCTGATGCGGCCTTTCTTCCGGAAATTACGGTATATCAGTTTTCTCTTAAATTCATTATACATTACTTTTATTATCCATACCAAGTATATCCATATCAAGTAAATCTTTAGATTTTGTTAAAAATATTTAGTATTATTATCTGTGTAAAATGAGAATATATATTTTTTATTTAAAGTTTCTCAAAATATCATTATGTAACTTATATTGTCTTCTTGAATAGTATTAAGCCACAAAAGGTATAAAATATTATGAAAACAAGTAAGGGACATAGATTGCGTGCTTTAACCCTTTCAGGACAGGCGTCCCATATACGCATTCCCTAAGAACGTCTCTTACAGCCGGGCATCCCATCCACACATCACCAGAGATTGCATTCTGAGGACAGATGATGCATATACGCATTCTAAGCTGGAACGTTTTTCTGAAGGCCACTAGATGGCATCCTATGTACATTACTTTTGAAATGAACACAGTTTTAAGCTCCTGACCTGAGTATTTTACTCATCAACTGTTGCGAGAATGAGTAAGGGGGGGAAGCGTAAATAGAAATGGGCTCTTTAAATTGCCGCATGCTAATATAAATATTTGCCTGATTTATATCCAATTCCTTTTTTATTCTGTTGTTTTCTCTCTACTATATACGGTCTCTTAGGGTTACTATGCGGAGTTCTGTTACGTTTTGCATTGCCTTCAGATATATTTCCATTACTTCTCTTTTTATTTTGGAAAGCCTCACATCCAGTCTATTATGGTGGGAAAGCGCTATTTATCAAAGGAAGAATACCCTCGTATGGTTAATGAACCTTTTAACGCAGATGAAAGTGATGATTCATTTTCAAAAGAGTTAGAAAGTGATACTTCTCCATGCTTCGAGATTTACCACAGTCTTCATTTAATTTTTTTTTTACTTCTTACTGTAAATAATCTTTATTGTGTTGTTTTATTAATTTTAAACTTTAATGATGGATTTTTATCAATTAAAACTTTGAAATAGTTTGAATAGCTCTTCCGAAAATTATTTTAAAAGATAAGCAATTTTTTGTGTATATTTTCATGTAAAATAAAGAAAAAAGTTATTAAGGGCTAATTTTAACATATACAGTCAAAAGTCATTAATTCGGACACCCATAATCCGGACCTCAAAGCTAAAATCTTTCTGCGCATGCGCCGCGTTGACGCATGCTCATAGGCGTTTTACGCATAAGCGCAAGACATTTACGACTGCGCATATGCATCTGCGCAAGCGCAGAATACGTTTTTGTGTGCGCGTTTAATGTATAACGGATGGTATAAGCTAAAATTATCTATTTAAGTTAATGTTGATGATTGCATTGTTCCTTAATCTTCGAATTGGATGCGGCTTATTATTTTTTGCAGACTGTAAGAGCAATTTTATAAAAGTAAGCTTGAACTTTCAATTATGTCAAATAGAATTTCCGATTCTGGAGCTCCCAAAGGATCTAGAAAACGAAAGTATGCTTCGATGTCCATCAAACAAAAAATGAATTGCTACAAAATGGATAAAGGTATATCCTTTGTTTATCTAACCGTTCCGAAATATGTTTATCAATTTCACGCTGCTCTGCGGGAGCAGGGAAACGTCGCGGCGCGCAATGAACTGAAAGTTCATCTGTCAGCACTATCGTTATCTTCAGGGCAGATGTTTTTATTTTATTTGGCGTATAATTCCTTACTAAATGTAGTATTTCATCTCAATGTACTCCGTCTTTGATATGGTTTAAATCAAATTCCTCGTCATTATAAATATCACGAATACAATCAAATAGTTTTCTGGTTGCAATTTTCTAATTTCGGCTATGCGTAAGGTACGCATGCGCGCGCGTTGAAAGAAATGTTTAATAAAGTAAACAAATAAATATTAAGCTTCTTTTTTTGTAAATTTTGATACCCTTTAGATCATAATTGCTCATTATTTTATAAATTATTGGTTTCATATTTTTAATTTTATAATTTCTGCGTGCCATTTTACCAGATTTAAACTGATGATCTATAATCCGGAAAAATCGATAAGCCGGAATCGCCGAAGTCCCGACGAGTCCGGATTAAAGACTTTTGACTGTATAAATGCTCAAGTAATAATCTAAAATGATACCAAAAATTACAATGCTAGAAGTAAAACTTTTTTTTTATATATATATATATATATATAAAATTAGGCTTAGCGGTGCAAAAACCTCCGCCCTGTATGGTGACCGCATTTGATTCATTTCCATCTTGCACAAGTGTCTTAAACAAAGGTGCTGTTGTGAAAGGGTTAATGAATTTCAATTATTACAAAACAATGATGTTATAATTTTGTATAGTATGTTTCAAAATTACTAGAATAAATCTTTAAGAAATGAAGAAGCAGTGCAAAATAATCACTTTTCATCACATGAGGATATATGAAAATGATCAAGGACAGTTTCTGTTTAGTGAGGCGTACTGTCTTACATAACACAAAGTTAGATTATAATCACAGTTACTGGCTCTCTTCCATATTTTGTCTATCTGATCACATTGCAATTACAAACCGAAATTATTTCTTCAGCAGAAGCAGGGATATTTAAATCAGGCCTTCTTAAACTTTTTCCAGTCGCAACCTTTATTTATAACTGAGATTTTGTCGCGACCCCTGGACCCGATAATATTTTCGAAAATTTTGTGGGAGCCCATAAACATTGTGCAAATGTGTGAATGTGTGTACACGTGTGAATGAAACTGTCAATTTTTTCACTTGTACTGTAATATACTATTGCAGTTTTAGGTCATTAATTTCTAATTTTAAGACACAGAACAATGTGAAAATTTTTAATAAGAAGAAATGACAGCGTCAGGTGTAAAGCAAGTAAAATTAACGTTTATTTTATTTTAAAAATGCGTCAAAATGTTTTCGTTCTTTTCTTTGTCTGTCTGTATTGTTTTTATCTATTTTCATATACGTTGTGTAAAAATATTTGGTAATTGTAAAATTATTATAATAAAAAATATCAAAACTGCTAAAATTTTTGGCGACCCACAGTTTAAAAAACTCTGATTTAGATTTTAATGTTCAATATATTAGCATCATTTAGTGGTGATTATCAAAAAAAAAAAAAAAAAAAAAAAAAAAAAAAAAAAACCTATTCATCTCCAGATCTTACATTTGATGGGCAAAAACTGGCAATGGCTGCAATTAATAATTTGTAACCTAGTTAGTACATGAATGCATTGATGATTATTGGAAAGAAAAAAATGTATTGTCTGCTTTTTTTTTTTTTTTTTTCTTTTTTACTTTTGCAACTAAAATCTGTACTTCTGTTGCATTTTGTTGTATTTTGTATTTATACTTCTGTGGGCCTAAGAAATTGTTTGCTACTATTACTGCCTTAAAAATAACTGATAAAAGGCACTCTTTTTCTAAATCTTTTAGATCATTTTCTGTGGCTGAACCTTAAAGAAAATAGAAGTAAATCTTAGCAGTTGACTAACAATTTGAAGAAAGAGGTTTTCTTTTAAGAGTTCTTTTTCTATGCTAAATATATATTTAAATGTGAATGTTAAGTATGTTCAAGCAAAATTATTTGTGCTTCAAATAAATATTACAAAATTTTCAAATTTTCCTGTGTAAATGTGAGGGAGATTCTTTTTCAAACTTGGCTTTTATTGTTTAAAAACAGCCATGCATTGGTGAAATTTATTTGTTTACTATTCGTTTTATATTCTTATTATAAAAATGAATGAATGTAGAATTTTTTTTCTAGGATTATTCAGCTTGTATATACCACATTCCTTTATTTGCTGCCTATTTAACTAAAAATATGTTTATTATGCCCTCATTTGTTAACCAGCTTTCTGTGTTCAAATCTGGCTTACAAGAAATGAATATGAGGGTAAGTAATATATGTGCATATTAATAACTGATAAATGGAGGAGGATTTTATTTAATCATCATGATATTTAATTAATAATATTTATTAATTGAAACATACCCAAAGAAAAATGCAAATTTAATTTTATTAAAAGTCATATCTAAGCTTCAAGATCTGTCTTTTTGAAAGACTGAATTTGTTCTTTATATAAATTGAATGTAACTCATTGATTGAACAATTTAGAAACCGGTATTGATAATTATGTTCCTATTACAGAAAAATTAAGAGATTTTTCTTCTTCTCTTCTAGATTATATTTTGAAACTTTTAACAAATTGGAAAATTGTTGTAGTCATATCCCCCCCTGAAAACAAGATTCTAAAAATTTAGATATATAAATATAATAATAACCTTTTGATCCAAGAATATTCATTGCAGGACCATCTGCAATCAGGTAAAATCATCAATAATTGCAAATATTATGTGTACAGTGATATGTGTGCATACATTTATGCAGTTTAGTTTAATTGTTGGTACTTTTCAGTAAAGAGCATACAAGTCATAATTGTGCATCAAAATGAAATAAAAAATAAAAGTATGGTAACTTCATGAAATAAAAAGTATGGTAACTTATTTATTTCATCTCAGAAGTAAATATGAAATGGTAGTATTATGAATAATAAGTGGGAAGAATGAATGTGAAACCAGTAGCCTTTTCTTTTAGCATTTTTTGATTGACCTCTCAGCCCTTTTTTAAATGAGGAAGGGATAATAATATGGATGACACAATCTGGTAATTGCCAAATGATAATACATGGAATATAATTATACTATATTACAATCAGAGCACCAAAATTACAGCAACAAAAGATATGTTGTGAAAAGAAAGCGTTGCAGAATGCTGACCCAGAGGTTTACTTATTCCATTTCTGTTAACTATTCAGTGTATTTACTTCTGATTCAAGAGCTTACAGTGGTAAAATTCTGTCAACTGCATCTAGGAATGAATCAATGTGCAGTTGCAGGTAGGGAAGATTGTATCTGCATATTTCCAATTAAGCATTCATAATTTTGTGTGTATCCAAATAAAGATAATGACAATAAATCTTAGTGTGGGAATCATTAAGTAGGGAATGATGTTTAGTGTAGATGAACTTTAAATAAGAAAAAAGCTGATTCATATACATATGTAGATCCAAAACAATAGTGGATATATTTGCTACATGTGGTGATATTGGAATACTTTTCTTGACTGATGTATTTCCAGAAATCTTTCTGAGATTCTAGTTTTGGCTGTCCTTTATTAAGCTGCAAGAGATGCTATTTAAAGGAACTTTCTTGAATGGGTTTAATAATTTTGAATGCTATGTCTTTTATTTCTTTTGTATTTAACCTTCTGCTGGTTGACACATGTTGGTGAATAATTCACTGATAGCTCAAAAACTTGGGAATTCTTATTCACTTTGGTATAAATCCAAGAATAGCCTGGAAAAAGCTTTTTGAGAAGGCCAGGCACCACCCTGAGCTATCAGGCCATTTAGGAAGGAAGAAATTTAGAAGATGTTAATGCTGTTCTTGTGTCTGCTTTGGACACTATAAAAAACATCTTTGCTAGATTACAATAACAAAATTTGCATTAAAAATATTCAAGCTTAAATTCAGAATGCTAGAATCTTTTATTTCAACTGTTTCGAAGTTATGTCTCAAAATTTCTTCATGTTTCCAAAATATTTTAGACAGTACTGTGAATAAAGTTTTTATGGCATTTAATAAAAATATTGTAGGTTTAAAAAAATAATGAAAAATTAACAACTGTTATTAGAGAATAGTTTTCTGAGTAGACTTTGCACAACTAAAATAGCTGAAGTTAAAGTGCAGTGTTACACTTTAAATGCTTATCTGGCTAAAAGAATGAGAAAAAAGCTGCAATTGAAACATTCTAATAAAAGGAAGTTTACCTTACAAAACTGGATCATTTAAATTTATATAAAATATTAATATATATGGTTTTATTTTTAAATACCTTTTTCTGAGTTTCCAATTTTTTATCTGTACAAAATTACTGGAAGGTTAACTATTTAATGTATGATCATAGATAATATTATGTATGTTAAACTAATGAGTGTGCATTCATTGAACATAAAATTTGTAATTTTAGTAAAAATAACATTTTATAAAAGAATATTTTTGTCCAACTGAATGAGGAAAATCTTAAGAATTAGATCTCGTATATCATGTGTGACTAAAATTATTTGTATGTGGTTTTTAAGGATTCTTTTCTCTGTGAATTTAATGATTCTGCTTTTAACAGAGAATTGCTGATATTTCATTAAGGGATTTATCTCAAGATATGCAGACTTCTATCAAAGTAAGTTATAGTTACCTTATTGCTACCATTTATTTTTCAGCTTACAGATTTTTAATATCCCAATTCTGTTTGCATAATCTATGAAAAAAGGATTTGTATGCATTCTTTTATTTAAAATTAAAAAATTGTAAATAATATTTATTTATTTTTTGTTAAGTTTCGATGGAGAATTAGTGTAAAATTCTGATATTGAATTATGTCAATCTTTCTAATGAACTGCTTTTTATTTTTATTTATTTATTTATTTATTTATTTTTTACTTGTGTATCTTGCAGTATATTATAAATGAGGCACGTGGTTGTTCTTCGGTAGCATGTTTTTCAGAATGGTATGAAGTTCTGTTCTCATGAATAAAAATACTACTGCCTTGGTTTATTCACAGCAAAAGTGCTGTAGAAATATTTTTCCTAATTTAAATCATCATTAAACTATTCAAATGTTCTCCCAATATTTATATATTTAATTATTATATTCAGAACAAAAGTGCTGTAGAAATGTTTTCTAATTTTAATCATCATTAAACAATTCAAATGTTTGTTGTAATTATGTTTTAAAATTAAATTTATGAAATAATCTGATTTTTAAAACAGCTTTCAGGAGCTTTCTCGTAATATTTTTTGACAAAATCACAAAATGTGTAATTCTGGACAAGTCTTGGATGCTGCTCGTCTGGACATGTGCTGTGCACTTAAGAGTTAAGACTGTATTGTAAAGAAGTATTGGAGAGCTTATTGCCTAATGACCTGATGGTCAATGGCCAGGCATTTGATAAATAAATAACATAGCCTCATAAAATTAGAATTCATAAGATGATGCATGCTAAAAATACAAGTTGGCAAATAACATAGATTTAGCAAAATGAAAATAAAATTAAGAAATTTTTAAAAATTATTAAGAGGGGCATTTTAAAGTTTAAAAAGAATAAAGGATTATTAACTTAAAGAAAAGTTTTAAGAAATAGCTTAAGAAATTGTTATAAGTGTCATAAAAAGTTGTTATCTTAATTATGCTGTTCATTATTATTGGGTGAACAAATAAATTTTGAGTGGGAGGGTTGTAACTTTAAAGCTTTATTCAGAGAAATCGGAAGAATGTATTTTATTCAAAGTACATTCTCCATCATTAGCTACAACTTTTCCCCATCCTTTCAGGTAGCATACGGATTCCACATTAAAAAAAATTCCTCGTCTTTTGAGACAATCCAAGAACAGACCCAATTTTTGGCTTATTAGTATGAAGTGAAGTGCTGCTTGGCCAAGTCATGAGCCTTCGACCAGAACAAGTGGAATTCAGAAGAAGCAATGTCTGATGAATACGGTGGGTGGAGTAGAACATCCCATTGAAGTGTCTCCAAAATTTCTTTGTTGACTGTTGCAGCATGTAGTGGAGTGTTGTCATGCTAAAAGATCACTTTGTCATGTCTTTTGGCATATTGGGGAGCATTTGAGCTTCAGTCCTCGGCTCAGTTGCACGAACTGTTGTTTGCAACATTTCCCATTGATGGGGCATGAATTTTGGTCCAATAACCCCTCCAATTCAGCATCTTCAAACTTAGTGCCCTTCCTTTGCGTTCTTTGTCACTGGTGTCAAGATCGGCACTTTTAAAGCACCGGAACCAGTACTCACGTGTTTTTAGCATGTTCACCATATGCCTCACAGCAATCGATGCCCATCAGCTGCAGTTTCCTTCAAATTAAAACAAAAAAAGAAGCTCTTGCTGCAAATTTTGTTTTGTTGGTAGAAAAGCTGGCATGGGTTGAACACGAAAAAAAAGTTTGTTATTTACACTTCAGTAAAATGAAACAGGCTGATATTGAGACAGAAATGTTGGCACTTTAACATGAATATAGTTACAAGATTGTCCAATGCTATCTTATGTAAATCCCTCAAAACTTGTACCTCCAATAATACTTTTTAAATTTTTCTTTGATTGGAAAAATTGACAATGATTATTAATTTTTTTTGGGGGGGAGAGGAAATTTTTGCTTTTGTACCATTTTTTATCAACTTGTTGCACTAGTTTTAAATTATTATTCATTTCATTTTATCTTTTGAAGAATTTAGCATGTTCTTTACTCTCCCACTTGGATACACTTCAAATTAAAGGAGATTTTTTCTCCCTTGGACGACTCAGTCATGTTTTGTGTACTGAATTGGAAAATCTCTCTCAAAATACTAAAAGGAAGGTAAATTTTGATTTATATTTTTACTTTCTTCTTTTAATATAGAAATTTTGTACATTTCAGTTTATTTGAATAAAGGAGCTGCATGTTTTAAACTTTGTTTTGTACTCGTATATATGTTAAAATTTATATTCTAGATTTTTTCAATGCAAAAACATTTAATGCAGTACAAAGTCTGAGATCTAAACTCATTGGAACTTAGGCAATTCCAGATTTTGTAATTTAATGACATGTATAAATTATAAAATTGAAAATATGAAATATTTGTTTCTGAAACAAACCATTATGACCTTAAGAGAATCAAAATTTACCAAAAAAAGGGGGTTCATTGTTTAGTTGTTTGCTTTATTAAACATTTCTTTTAATGTAAATTGTTTAAATTGCTTTTTTTTGTCTGTGTATGCTAATACTTTCTCTTTATATATAGATGTAATTTTTGTTCATTTACAAAGTTCTGCTATTTGAGGTTCTGTAATTGATGCGTCAAAAATTCTCACTAAATTGTCTTTCAAAATTTTTCTGTTCTCACAGACCTCTCAGTCACTTTCTTAGCTATTGATAGCAATATTTTCTGGATTTAGAACCATTCTACAGATTTTGCCATCCGTTAATTAATTAATTATTGGGGCATTGCCATTACAATGGAATATTTATGTTATATGATCTGCATGCATTACCAGTTCTCATAGATCCCATTAATTGGAAAATTTCATTTTTGGTGTGTGATATCCAAAAACTTTCAAATTTACGGTTATTGTCATAAAACTTAGCTAGTGTCTATATATTATTGGCAATGTATTGCAAGATTAGCAACTAGAGATGTGTTGTTTACTAATTTTTGCCTTGCTACTATTACATGCTGAGAAAGTTAAGCCTGAATTATTTTAGTTTAGTTATTTCTTATATTTACATCTATTTCTTGCATGTGCTTAAAGCTTATTTCCTACATATGCTTATCTAAGTTCTGAATAAATAAATTCCTGCATATATTTAAGGCTTATAGCATACAAAAATCAGTTATTCTTAATTCAAACAGTACTAAATGTAATCTTTTAACCTATGAATATCATTTATAAAATCTATTTTTTGTATGTGAGAAGATATGATGGCACAGTCAGGGGAACGTGAAAAAAATATCAGTAATAGCAGAAAATAACAATATGTTACATGTTACAATAAATTCCGATAAAAATCAAAATATTTAGAAAATTAAAATTTGACGTTGATTAGAAAGAAAATCAATTTATATGAATCTTACTATCTGAAATGTGTTTAAAAGCAATGTAATTGATTTGTACCTAGTCCCATCCACACTTCTCATATTATTCTATTCTGTATGCATCATATGTAGCCATTCGCCTCCTTGTTCTGTCACAGTATATTATATAGAATGACTGTATTTCAGCATTTAATGGATAATCAAGTTTAAATTGTGATATACAAAATCATTTTAAATGTGCATTCATTTAAGTTGTGACTTATAAAGTGATGATTATATGAAACTTGATAAATAAATAAAAAATCAGACAGAATGGAAACAGAACAGAATAGAAAGTACTTGTAGTGAATCATTCCAATTTATTGTCTGCACTGAACAAGTTTGGGCGATCACTCATTTCAAATTAGGTTTAAATTTGACAATGATGAATGGCTTCAAGGATTTGCATTACAGTTCAGTATTTTTTAAAGTAAGTAAACTTAGCTTAGGATTGCTGAATGTTTCCATAACGGTTACTTTGCCAAATGTAGTGAGAAGGCCAATTGGATTTCAGATCCTATAATGAAAATTCCTTTAAAGCAGCCTCAATACTAGCATTCTCTTAAAAGGAACAACTTATAGTTTTCTGAGTTTATTCATTGTATGGTATTAAAATAAAAGCATTGTAAGATATATTCCAAGAATACTAAAAAAGGGCCAGGCAGGTCATAGGTTCTTAAGGGAAGGTTATTCTGTATCAGTAAGGGTACACTAAACAAAAAAGGTATATAACTGCGATACTCATGCAACCGGCTAGGAGGATCGGGGCTGTTCCCTTATAATAATAATAATAATAACTGCTGATATATCATAATTTTGATCTCTTGACGAATAATCAAAGATCTTCTTTACATCATTTCATTTTTTAGTTTATATTCTGTGTAAGTGGGAAGCTATTATGGTCAAATTTCTTTATGCTATTGTGTAGGTAACAAATTAGTTTGCATATAGTTTTATCTTTTTCCATATACTTTAAATATTAAGTGCCCATCTGTGTAAATTAATCAGATTAGAAAGCTTTTCCCATTCAGGTTAAAAAGGAAGCTTCACCTGCTGCATCAATTTCAGTTTGCACTTTTTTTCTATTATTATTTAAAAAGAGAAATTTGTTTAAAGAGAAGAATTTATCTCTTCCTGCAGAAATCACTCAAGACAGGTGATCAGATTTAAAAATCAAATAATTCTTCCATTGTTAAACCAAATAACAATGTTGAAATAAAAAAATTAAAAAAAAAAAAAAAGAACCATTGAAACCACCTTCGGAGAGCAAAATTTTCGAATGTATATATGTAGCATAAAAACTTAATATAAAATGAATAATTACATTTTTAATTTGGAAATTTTTTGCTCTGCAAAAATTTAGCACATAATTATTAATTGCTGGCCTTGGAAAATGCTTAATTCTGTAATTAAAATATTTCTAATTGCAGCATGCATATTCTTGATTATTTAGCCTTTACTTACAAGAAAAATCTGAAAAAAATCTTTCTAATCCTGTGCCAAACTTTTATCCATTCTTATATAAACTGAAATTGCTACTAATCATTATTGTAATTCAATAATTACACATTCTGAGGAGAAAACTTAAGATCTTATAGTGGTTTTACCACTCTTCTTCTAACACCTTTCAAACTGTTTTATTAACACCTTCTAACACCTATTTGTTCATCTTCAGTTCTCCTTTTCTAACACCTGTTTTCATGTAAGGAATATATAGTGAGCTTATCTGCAAGCCTGTTCTTTGAGGGCCAGGATTCTCTGGGAATCATACATCAACATTTTTATACCGAATGGTATTATGTATGTGCATTAATAGCTCTTCTTTATTTTATCTCTGGATGAAACTGTGTATAAGGATTATGATGCATGATGTGCATTTGTTAAAAGGAATAAAAAAAAATGCAACAGAATTAAATTGGAAGCTGTTTTTAACTAAAACTGATATGCATATAAATAAAATATTTTCTGATACTAGATTAAATTTTGAATTTCAATGTAAAAATTTTAAAGGTGAATTTAAATCTTGCATTCTCTTCCTTAAAATCCAATTGTGAGATCATTCCTTTTAAAATATAATTTTATTTTATCAATTCTGAGGGTGATAGACTATCAAGGTTTGAATTTTTAAATAAATATATTTTAAATTATCACTTGCTGCTTACATATTTCCTTTATGGAGGAAAATTTTTCAGATTTCTTCTAACAAAGCATCCGTGCTTGTTGTCGATCGCCTTCTAGATCTTGCTGGACCATTGAGCCAATCATATGAAACAATGTTGGATCTGATACTGAGAGCTTTGCCCCATTTTCCTGGACATGCTCTTGATGTGTGTGTTTCTATGGGTGATCTTGCCACTTGTAAAAGGTAAATATCATATCAATTTCATAAAGTTTTGAATGTGCTAAATCCAATTTAAATAAAAGTTTTCCTATAACAAATTATATATTAATACATTCAGAATGCAGAAAAATATTTTTTATTTATAGCTTATTTATTTCATGGATTTCAATTTTTCATTCAGTAATTCCATGGATTCTTTCATCTTATGCATTTATTTTGTTTCTTATATTCATGAATTATTTATTTGGTAGAAATATGTGCGAGTTTTAGTTTAAAATATTGCAGTGTGTATTTTAAATTTTGCATAACGGTATGTATATATATACACATATACATTTAATAATGAAATATCTATAATTGCTTTCTTATATTTAAGCAAAATAAAGTTTTAATCATTACTAATTACTGACCAGCAAGTAATTTTAATATAAAATGGAAATTCTTATAGTTATATTTTATATTATTTTAATATTATTTTTATTTTAGTTTAAAATCAAGTTGAAATTGACCTAAAAATTAGAATCTTATATGAATTTTTATTGAGTACGGGCTTTACTGGATCATCTGTCTCTTATTTAATCATTAGTTTTATCTAATATACATTGAGTATATTCTTTTCATAGAAATATATATACAGTGATCCCTCGTTTTTCGCGGTTAATGGGGAGCAGGACCTTCCACGAAAGCTGAAAAACCACGAAGTAGGATTTGCCCCTAGGAATTTTCGTGTATGCGGGTACAAGAATGTTTTAAATATGTAAACAGTATTTATACTTTACACATTTAAGACAAAAACATATTTATTAATGTGTCAGTAATTAATAAGGTTAATTACAAAACCTTATACAGTAATAAACATTAATCAACATTGCTTTCTGAGAGAGGCGAAGTGTCTTGTGTTGGTGGTGGAAGAGAGGCTCTCGCTTGACTCGTAGAAGCTTTAGGCTCACTTAAAGACTCTTCTGCTGGAGGTACTGATGGTAGAGCCAGGGCTTTACCTTGGAGAGAAACATGGTGATGGGTAGATGTTGTCTTTGTTTTTTCTTTTCCGTCAAAATTCCCCTGTACAAGGACATAATTCCATCAACGCGATTGCTGAACTTATTGTCAGCTCGAACCATATTGTAGTCAATGTCCTGTGCAAATTGTTGCATTGCTCTTGCCATGTTGCACAATTGTTGCAGATTCTCCAGCGTAAGGCCACGCTTTTCAGTTTTTTCTTCACTTCGTTTTCTTCCTCACTTGCAGACTTTGTAATCTCAAGGAGGTCTTCATCGGTCAGTGGGTCTGAGTGGCAATTGATAAGGGCGCTGATGTCTTCTTTTGTCATGTCGATAAATCCTTTATTCCTTATGATGTGACCCAGCCTCACCGCCTTCACCACTGAGTGATGAACTTCTTCAGGAGTGAAGCCTGGCTAGTCGTGCACCACGTTCAGCCATGATTTCTTCGAGCTAGAATTTATGGTCTCACTCTTCATGTCCTTTAATGCTCGCTGAATATTAGACAAACATGAGGCAATGTCATAACTGTGCCAGTATGCTTTAAAGGTGAATTAGTCATTGGCATCGTCAACAACCGAGATGAGGCCTTCCATCGTGGAGTGAGTGTAGAATGCCTTAAAGGTACGAAAGACACCTTGATTCATCGGCTGAATTATGTTGTGTTCAGGGGGCAGAAGCTCTATCTGCACACCGTCATATTGCAGGTCCATTGCATGGCCTCCTGCACAGTCAATGAGGAGAAGGGCTTTAAAGGACCTTTTCAGCCAGATACAGCTTCACCTGAGCATGAAGCAATGGAGGAACCAGGCCTTGGAGTTATGCATCCAGAACAGGGGCAACAAAGTTGTATTTTTGTTTTTTAAAGCCCGTGGATTTTTGGCTTTATAAATAAGGCCTGGCTTAAGCATAAAACCTGCAGCATTGGCAGCCATGATGACAGTCACACGGTCTTTGTGATCCTTGAAGCATGGCCTCTTCACTTCGTCCTTGAAGAGGAATGTATGCAAAAGCATCGTCTTCCAAAAAAGTCATGTTTCATCCATGTTGAAAACTTGTTCAGGGAGGTAGCCTCCCTTATTGATGAGGTTAGGAAACTCTTCCTCCATGTAACAACAAGCAGCATTGTTGTCAGCAGAAGAAGCCTCACCATACAGAAGCATGTTTCTGAGGCTGTATCTTTTTTGAAATTTTTCAAACCAGCCTTTGCTGGCTGAAAAGCCTCGTCCTCAAGGAGGCGAATCATTCCTGGCAGCGCTATTACTGGCTTGAGGTTCATCAGCACCTTCTTTACCCTCTTCATTGTCGTCATTGGGCAAGATTTGGTCATAGAGAGCTTTGGCCTTTGACCTGATCATATTAGTGTCCAAACTCACTGTCTTTTTCCTGCAATCAGCAATCCACAATGCCAGTGCAGCTTCCATTTTCGCAATTCTGTTATTACGCAGAGTTACCACAAATTTCGCTTCTTTATTGAAGGTTATTGAAGCAGTTTTGTGGATGATTGCTTTCTCTTTCTTGATGTACCGCACTGTACATTCATTACCTCCTTAATGGCATGCCACAGATGCATAACTTCTGCCCTCTTTGATCATATCTAAAAGTTTCACTTTTTCGCAGATGGTCATCATCTTTTTCCTCTGGAGGAAGCTTTTGCAGGGGCACAGCGCTTAGGCGACATTATAAGGTCTTAATTAATAAAAAAAAAATTATTACTTAAACAAAAAAATTATCACCAACACAACACTAGAATACAGTATGCGAGACAGTCAACATCATGGACAAGACTGGCGAGATACAACAAGAGAATATGCTAGGTGAGGCTGCAATGATGTGCAGACAATCAACTCGCAGGGATAAATCCACTTGTACTCTCGCTGCTCGATGTCACACCGGAAACCAATCACGTGCCTTTATAGAGAACGTGGTATGTACTCTGAGTCAACTCACTCTTCGTTTGGTTGTATTTTTTCATTTTTCATTTTTGATGAATATTGTGGAAAAACTGCAAAGTACTGAAGCCGCGAAACATGAAGCGTGAAGTGGCGAGGGAACACTGTATTCACTGTGAGTGAATTTGAGATATATTAAACATACAAGTTAATTTTATGAATTAAGGATTATTCATTTCTCAACCACATTGTCATCATATCTTAAAAGGCAAAACATATCTAATATTTTTAAATATTTCGATGTATTATAGCTTATTTTTATATAACTTTTCTTGTTAATTTTTCCCCTTTAGAAAAAAACATTTCTTTTAGTCTTATTTTTCATTCTAGATTGTATTCTAGATTCAAATTTATCTGATGCTATCAAAGTTATTAGTACTTTTAGTAGTGTTTTCAAGCCTTTTTTGTGTGCTGTTTCAAGAATGCTTAAACATCTGTCATTGGCAAATTTTAAAAATAAGAATAATAATAAGCTTTTGGGAAATTTCAGTGAATCAGTATTTGGAAGACCTTTGCTTGCCCCAGGATGTCTTGCTCACAAAAGCACTGCTGCAGAAATCTCAAATTTGAATTCCATTTTATGCGAAAAGCCTAGAGTGAGTTATTTTCATTTAATTATATGCCAAAAATTTTTGCTTGATAGTGTATATACATGGTAATTATTCTTTAATATTATTTGCAATAATCCTGAAATTTAGATAGTGCGATCTAAAAATTTGAAAGACTTCTTAAGTTATTAATTTTTACTTCTTAAATTATTAATTTTTAATTATTGAAACGCCTATATTTTCAAAGAAGAAACACAATTCTGCTTATAATTCTGGAGATCTAAGACTAAACAATCCATTCTTTGAAATACACTCTTTTGCAAAAAAAATCAAAGCACGAAGAAGGTGTTTTGCGATCATGACGAAATTTGGTATGCAAAAACATCTTGATTGAACATGCAAATGATCAAAGTTTCAACGCAAATGAACAGGAATTGCGATCATAGTGCACAATTTGCAAAGTATAAAACTAGTAACAGAGGCGGAAAATTTACCTGTTTTTGTTGCTTCCATTGTAATTCCATAAAGAAGCAAGTAAAGATGACACTGAAAACCTTACAGACAACTGAGCGACTTTGAACATGGTCACATTGTAGGGTTGCGTGAAGCTGGGTGGTCATACCGAGCAATAGGCCGCCACCTGCAGCGTAGACACTGCTGTATAAAGATGTTGGCAGCAATGAAGGAAAGAGCCAACAAAATGAAGGCTCTGGAAGGCCAAGGAGTGCAAATGCAAGGCAAGATAGGATAATTGTTCGTCAGGCCTGAACCGCCCCAACTGTATCATTGCCGACTATTCAACACACTGCAGCCACATCTATACCTCCTGTGGTACTGTCCACCATTTCACGGCACTTGTCTGGGCGGCGTTACGCTCACAAAGGCCTTTTAGGACATTTGCCTTTGACCTCACAACATCGCATAGTAGGCTGCCAGATTCGGGGACCACAAAATATCGCAGATTTGGAGTGACAACTGATGAATGCCTGGTAGAATGTGTCACAGGCTGACATTAGGAACCTCTTTCACTCCTTGCCTCAACGAATTCAAGCATGCATTGCCGTCAGGGGTGATTCGACCAAGTACTAATTTGAACACTGAAAGGGTGATTGCGAGCCATGAACAAGTACTATGACCTTGATTTTTAATCATTTTATTATCTGTGTATGAGCTATACACATATTTAATTTCATCAAAATCAACCACTTCCTTTATGGTGCTTTGATTTTTTTTGCAAAAGAGTGTATAACCTTCAATTCAGTTTACATTGCATTTTTCAGCTTTAGAATTTATATGTTATAATAATGCTTTCATATATTAAAATTATTCATTCTTTATTTAAATTTTTTATTATTAACCAAATGAGTGATTTCTAGGAAGCTTTGATTCAAACCAATCGCAGTGTTGTTGAATGTGCATCTACTGAAGGGATTGCTTTAGAGCTCAGTTCTCGATTGACTCCTGAAGCCCTGAGGAACAGAATCGTTTCTTTCAAGTAAGATTTTTAGTTGATTAGTGATCAAAATTACCTTTTACTTGAGCATACTGGCAATTGGTAAAGTTTTATACCATATAGCCAATGATTTCAGTGATATAGTGAAACATTAGAAAACTGGCACATCATAGAATAACTTATATGTGTTTATGTATATATGAATGGAAAGCAATTTCTGAAAAATAATTTATGTATTTAAATTTTTAAGGATTAAAAATTCAATACGGTAGTATCCATGTATACTTCCACAAATAATTCATTCCTGGACACAGAGCCAAGATAATAGTGAGGAACTTGCTTTTGGTGAATGGCTAAGAGGGGTGTTTAGAAAGGTCCTTTCTGAAGGCATCCCTCTCCTTAGGCAATTAGTCCTCGTATGCTTTGCCATACCCTGAATTAAACACACAAACATAGTAGAAAGATTATCTTTTATTTTTAAAAAAAAAATATTGGTGCAAAATTAATGTTCTTCAGATTTAGGTATTTTAAAAGAGCAGCTTATAATTTAGCCCAAGAATGTCTGTATGATGTAAATGCTTTAGATATTTCATCAGAAGTATCTAGCTTTTATAAACATGCTGTTTAATTAATTGTGGTTCCTAAAGTAAGGTCCTGTCTTTTAAAGTTGATTTGTCAGTATAATTTAACTCAGTTACATCTGAATTTGGAAATTGCATTAAGAATATTTTTAGTATTGCCAATTACTGTTATGTGCGTGAAAGATTTAAAGCAAGATCAGATCTTTTAAAGATGATTTGGCAATACTGTTTAGTTCAGTCATATCTGAATTTAGAAATTTCATTAGGAACATTTTTGACATAAAATTGTTTATTAAAGCTGTGCTCTGATTTAGTGTAGTTAATTTTTGTTCAGCATAGAATTGCACAGATATAGTTAGTTTGATCATATATAGAGATATTTACTTCTTTACCTCAAGTGGAAAAATGCCTAAGCATAGCCCTACCTGAACATACTGTGGGTAACAGTCAAAGTGCAGAACAGGGTATTCATGTAATGCAGGGTTAATGCATGAACAAGCCTTTATCATTATTAATAAATAATAATAAAATATACTGTACACTATATCATTCCATACACTGTATTGTTTGTACAATAATCCAAAATTTTTTCTTTCTCATTAATGGATATGACATCACAGCTTCTCTTGAGTTTCGAACTCCTGGTAGCAGCACAACTTTTATACTTGGAAACTATTGCAATGTAAATAAAGAATATCTGAATAGAAAAAGTGCAGTAACATGCTATTGTGAACAGGGCAGTTTTTAAAAGCAGAGCTGAGGGAAATTAACTAAGAAAAATCTGTATACATGGGAGAGAAGTCAAATAGTTTGACTCCTGATAACTGTATTCCCTGAGTGACATTTTATAGCTGTCAGGGGGAAAGCTTAATTAAGAAAAGTGCTGTTCTGAGGAGAGACCTGTAACCTGAGAATATACCTGTTGTTCTGAGAAGATGACCATTTTCATGGCCCTCCCAATTTAGTTATATCCATTAGAAAAGTGTATGCATGTGCTTATAGTAATGACTGCATGGGAATATAGTGCTTATCTTGTGTTGATGTCTGTATTTCCCATTTGTCATAGGCTGTTTATTACTTGGCATACATTTTGAAATTGAAAGAACTTATCCTTTCCATTGCAAACCCTGGATACTGGGATATGATTGTATAATTTTTCTTACTTTTTTTTTACAAACATTTTTATAAGACTTTTTATTACTTTAAATTGTGTAGTGGGTATTTTTCACTATGCACAAACAAAAATTAATATTATGGCTGTATTTGAAACAATCTAACCAACTGCTACATTCTGTAAAATCATTACCAAATAAATTTCTGTGCAACCTCCTCACACTTTTTTAGGATATAATAAATATATCACATCTTAAAAATTTTAACTGAAACAAAAGTGTTTTTTCTGCTGCTTTAAAAAAAATTTTTTTCAACCTTTCCTGTAGAGTTCTGTAAAATTTTTTCTTTATCTTGAACAAGTATAGTGAGAGTAAAGAAAAGTTCTATAGTCCTTTATAAAACCAAATTGCAAATGAATGTATTGAAAATATCGTAAAAATTTTAACTTTAGTTACTGATTTAGTGATAAAGATTGAATCTCATGAAACTCTATTTTGGGGGAAAAATTATTGAATTTTAAAATTTTATTTTCTTCAAAGGTAAAAAAAAGTTGAAATTTTGACTGATACTTATCATCTGACAGTTTAATTTTTGGTATATACTCTGATGTTAACATAAAATTCTTATGGGAGTGGAATACATTCGTTTTTGAAAATTTATATGCTTTTTGGATGATGTAGCGAATGCAACTTGGAAACTAATGTGTTGGTTATGTCAATGAATAAGCTTATCAAATCAATTAATACATTTTCATATATCTGCTAAGTACTGATATGTTCAAGAGATTCCTGTACAGTGTGATAGTTCTACCAAAACGGAAAGCATCAATGTACTTGACAAATTTTTATTGATCCTTGTCAAAATAAATAAATTGCCTGCTTTAATTCTTTTATTATTTTTGAAGTATTCACCAATTAACCTGCTACTTTTAGGCAGCTTATTCTTTCAGTAAGCTTCCTAGCCTTTGAAAACTTCTTAACAGAGCTCCATTGTGTTAAAAATGTTCAAAAAATGTTTTCAGTTATTAATTTTCTTATCAAGCTTTAACTGAAAGTCCCATTTTCCAAAAAATACTTAACCTGTGAATGCATAATTACTTTTTCAATTGCTTATTTAAGTAATCTAGATTTTGAACTACAGTCTATTAAAACTAACCATTCAAAAATGGAATAGTAGTATATAATTCCTGTTATTGCTTTGTCTCTATGGTTTCTAATTGTGCCCAAAGAAATTTAAATTTGCAGTATATTTTCTGAATAGCTATGAAGATTAGGTGATATATAAAGAGATAGTTTTTGAATATCACCAAAGTTTACAAAATTGATATTTTTGTTTTTTGCAAATTTACCTTTTCTTACTATTGTAAATTACAGTATTTTTAAGCATAGAAAGAATTGTCTGATCTCAGATAATGTCATGTTGTAATGAAACATAGATGCCAGGAAGCTAAAAAAAATATGTGTGGCTACATCCTGGATTTTGCCACAAAAACTCAGAACCTTTGTTTTTAAAAAATTACATGCTGAAAATATTATACATTATAATGATTTAATAAAAACCGTACTCATTGTTGTGTAGTGCTGTATCGAATTTGTTTCCAGTATCATGGAAAAGTATTAAGAGAGGCTTAATTAATACTGCATCTGTGTGTAGACTTAGTAAAATGTTTAGTAATTCAGGGCTTAATTAATAAATAAATAATTTAAATAAAACTCAGAAATTGTATTCATTGAGTAATTTTTATGTTGTCAATGTAATTTTTCTTCATTTGTAATCTCTTTTAGGGAGAAGCCAAAATCTCTTATTAAAAACTGTGGAATATTACAACAAGCCTTAGCTGTAGTCCAAGCCTTAGAATATTCAAAAATAAATTCAGTTGATCATCTGTCTGCTATTGAAAAAGCTTTAATCCAGTTCTTAGCAACATCTCCAGAAGAAGTTTTGAGTAATATAATGCAAATGGTTGCTGAGAAGGAGGAAATGTAAGTTACGTAGCATTGTTATATATTTATTTTTACAGAAAATACAGGGTGTCCATAAAAAAATCCCACTTTCAATGGCATATTACAGGGTTGGCCAAACTTCATGTCAGTAAAAGCCGCACATTTGAATTCAGGAATGTTCAAGAGCCACATCTAGATTTTCTAAAAGCCACAAGTTCATATTTACATCATTATAGAAGTAGTGGAGGAGGTTTTAAGTAGAAAGAAATCCCTGATAACTTTGTAAATTAATTAATTACTTCTTTTTGGACACTGAATAGTTTTAGTTTACCATATTTCATACATATATTTTATATGCACAAGCCACACAAATTGCCGGCTCTCGAGCAGCACTTTGGCCACTCCTGGTATATTATAACAGTTTAATTTAGACTGTTTACAACAAATCATATATCAAATGGAAGGTAGACTAACCTAGTTTTTCTTACAAATGTTCAATATGTGAACCTTTAGTTATATGGCATGCATCCAACCTATAGGCCAATTCTTCCCACACTTTGGTTAAGAAGTCCAGAGTAATGAAAGCAATAGCCTGTTCAGTTCTGTGTCTCAACTCTGGCAAATAATTAGGTAGTGGTGGAACATAGACACAATCTTTTATAAAGCCCCAAAGGAAAAAAAATCACTTAGCATTAGGTCAAGTGAACATGGAGGCTAGTGAAAAAGAGCTCTGTTGTCTTGACCATTATGACCAGTCCAATGGTCAGGGATTTTGATATTTCACCACTCTTGTACAAAGAGATTACAATGCAGAGGATCTCTGTCTCATTGTCAAATATAGTTTTACCCTCTACTAGTTGGGGAAAGAGTCATTTCTTTAACATATCCAGATAAGCCCTCCTGCCTGTTGGTAGCTTCAGTGAAACAAAATAATCCATACACTTGACATTGGGACTTCCAGAGAATCCCTTTCGTGTTCTACAAGTTCATCAGGATGTTCTGATCCCCAGATATGAACATTGTGGGTATTTACCTTCCCACTGAGATGAAAAGTTGACTTATGACTAAACATCACACAATCAAAAGGTCATCTTCTCACTTAAACACTTCATTTGCAGAGTTGTCATATGTACCAACTGTAACTGATATGGATGTATGTGTAAGCATTTTATTAAAACCTTCCAAACTGTTGTCTTTGGCTAGTGAAATTCAAGACTTAACATCCAAACAGATTTCTTAGGCCTACAAAATCAGGTAAGATGCTTTATCCAATTGTTTTGAATTGCCTACACTATCAGCATGTGTTTTTGCTACATAAGGGATCACAAGTAAAATGAAACATATACTGAATTAAGATTACAGATTCACTCTTAGCAAATTGCAGAACACAAAATGCTTTACACTGAGGAGTTGCCATTTTGCTTACATGGTGCAGAAGTGAGAAAACAACAAAGCAGTACTCATATATGCACTTATCTAAAACTGTTTGAGTTCCTCTTTAATTGTGACCTTGAAGCAACACTACAATGCTTAAAGTTGGTACTTATTAAAAATTATAACTGGGACGTTATTTTAAAATTATTATTTATAATCACATATTTTAAAATCATCAAATTTACCTACTTACTGTATTTTAAAATTAGGCAGTTTTGCCATTTAACTTTATATAGTTATGCATTTTATTCATTTGAGATATCATAAAATAATATTCTGTTAAATACTTAAAGCATGAAAAATTTAAACCAGTATGCTTAATGATTATAGTAGGAAGTATTTGATGGAAATAGTAGGAAATGCACTATTTGAAGTAAAATATTTCCTGTCATTGAGCATCTCTTTATGAAGTAAACACTAATAAAGTAATTTCATTAATTTTGTGTTGTGCATGGATAAGAAATTTGAGTTGCCTGTTCTCATATTTTAAAAGGTATCATACATTATTTTTGCATTTTTATGATAGGGGTAAGAAGTAATTGTGGAATTTTTTTTTTCCATATATAATATTTTTAAGTGTAAAGCAACTAAAATATTGCATCCAGTGAAGTATTCTAAAATAGAGTATTTCAAATGAATGTGATTAGAACATTCTTCTCTCCCAATTCTGATAACTGGATGTAATATTTCATATTATTTAATAATTCATATATTTTCATTTGCAATAAAGAATTACTTTATGATTTCATATTTTTCATTTTAATTATCATGTAAATATTTATTTTTCATTTGTTTTAAATTTTAGGAACTATAAGATGGAAGAAATAATAGTCTTTTTGGCATTCTTCTATATGCTTTCTGGTTGCAGTAGTGTGGAAAATGAATCTGCTATGCAAGTAAGGAATAGAGTAATTAAAATCAATTAAAAGTACAGGTAGCATATTTGGGGGATTAGGAATAGTTATCAATTAAGGAAAAGATTTGAGTGAAATTAGGGGTGGCTGTATGAACATGCAAGCATGTGTTTGAGGGAAGCAAAAGTGATTCAAATGCCTGTGTTAATTAATAAAGTGATTTTAATACTTGTAATTTAGAAGTTTAAAGAAAATTCTTCATTAGTTTTGATAGTTTTAGGATATGCATTATCTCTTAATTCTGGCTCTTGTTTCAGAATTGGTCTTCTATAAATCATCAGTTGATGCATACCTTTTTAGTTTATTTTTAATCTAGAAGTCTCTGATTATATAATTTTCTTGATATGCATAATATAAAATATATTACAAAATTAGTTTTAAGAATACCGTAAAGGGCTGATTATTCTGTATTAAACTGAAATTGTCTTTAGTTTGCTGCTTACATAACAGCTCAAACCATTAAATAATTTTTCAGGCAACTTTGATGGAAACATTCTTTCAAGATAGTGGTACAAATGACTTAGCTTCCTTATTTGGTGAGAAATATTTCTTTTTATGTTTCACTGTGTGTTAAACTGTTGATAATAATCATAATAATTATTGCTCGTGTATATGTTTGTGGGAAAAAAAAAAGGTTGCTAATGTAAAATATGTATAAAAGTTGTCATTATTTTAATTAAAAATATTATTAAGAGTATATTTTGTATATGCTTCCTTTAAACTTCTGAGAAGCACTGTTTTAATCAAAATTTTATTTGTTATGAATTCAGTAAGCTATCTAGTTCACTTTTGAAAGTTTCTTTTCTTGATATCTAATTTTCTGTAATGAATTACATTTAAGCACTGTTGTTTACTATAAACATTTTCTGTTTATTTTCCTTATTATGTTAAAAGCCTTTAAGCACTTTTTATCTTTTTTTTTTTTTTTTTTTTTTTTTTCTTTTTAAAGATACATTCTACTAGAAGAAGAAGAAAGTTAGAAATAAACGTAATCCATAATAACTTTACTGTTATTACATTTCATCCTTCTGTCGGTTACAAAATCACTCAGATTTTCCAGAAGTTCAATTTTCAGGTCATTTTCTCAATTATCAGTAAAGTCCATTGTTGAACTCTAAAAACAATCCCATTTATGATTTTAATTCATACGGAATTATAGCATATTTTATCAGCATGGCTGTCATACTTTGGCAAAACAGTTTTGGTTTTGCAAAAATTACCCATAAACCTTTTTCGGCTTGTGTAGTTCTCAAACTGTGGTTTGCATATCAGTGGGGGTGCACAAGCGCACAAAGCTTTAGTCAGAGATGTTCTAAATAATTCACAGTCATGGTGAGAAACAACAAGTATTATAATGAATGCTGATAAAAAAAAAGTGTTCAGAAAGTTAAAATTTTCCATTGAATTAAAAAGAAAATAATTTTAAGAAATTCATAATTAAAATAATTAATTGTGTAACCATCATTTTTCAAAATGTCTGCAAAAGCAATATAATTAGTTTATAGCTAGCCCCACTGACATCATTTATATTGCTTGATTCCTTAGGCATCATATGCAGCCCAGTCCTGGATCTTGGGGGGGGGGAAGCTTGGATCCCTATTCCAGGCAGCCAAATTCAAGTGTGGCTCTCCATCATGTTTAGAATGTTGTTTTATTTTGCTATAACAATAGTACCAGGTTTTAAGAAATGCATAGTAGCAATGTTATGTTAGCACCAGAAAACTTGAGATCCAACCTCCATCAAAATTGTTTGATTATTATGAAATATTGTATGGGCCAAATAATGGCTGATGATCAAGGAGTTAGTGCCAAGTTTAAAAATTTCTTTTAAGAAGGTTTGTAATTAAATAAAAAGAACCCCTTTAAGGAAACAGAGAGTTAAAAAGAAAGTTAAGTACAGCCAATTACAATCACTGTAAAGATAAGATCAGAGAGAAGACAACATAGGGACTCTAGACATCACTGGCAAGGTCAGACTGCCCCTCTCAGTGATGCTTGGAGTCCCTTTGTTGCCCTCTCTCTAGGCAGGGGGGGTATTTAAATGAGAGCTAAAAAGCTTGTTCCATAGCAACATCTCTTGGGAAATGAAGGAGAACCATTGTAATTATTTTCCAAGACTGCACCCAATAAAAATTTATCTTTGATTAACCTGGACCTATGAAATAATTCAAATTAATGTATGTCAAGCATATACAACAGATCATCCAACGTGGGCTATGTCTTATGAAGCAATCAATGCATTTAGACTTTTTGGAGCTATTTGGCAACTTGAACTCACTTTTGACTTCACTTGGAACATTGGCACTCGTTTTGGCTTTTTAAAAGTTGGATTTATTATTTTTATGTTTTTTAGTCTTGAAATTTCTTTTGTTCACTTTTTCATTTTTTTTAAAGTATGCCAACTTTCAGAAGTCCGCGCAATATTTAGTGAGATGCAAATAGTGGCCATAATTATGTCAGTTTTTAGTTATTATTAAGACAAGTCATAATGTATTTCATTTTGTGTAAAAGAAATCATGAACATGCCAAGAAAAAAACTCTCAGGAGTGGAATATTTTAAAAAAAGCTGAATTTGTGTCATGTTTGGCTCACTCCTTGAGTCTTGTCGGTTTGCATTCTGCCTCATCATGCCTGGAAGCAGTTAACCTATATGGAAGTCTTTTGCTTTTCTGTCAGATCCACTGCTCAATGCGATATTATGAAAAAATGTACAAAAACCAACTTAAATGAAAGCATCCAAATGAGACGGTCAGCAAAGGTTTTGGCTGTGTAGTAAAATCCTTGAAGAAATTAAAGATATTTCTCTTAATGCAGAACCAAAGTACAAGGCAGGGCATCTCTTACATGCTGTGAAAAATTTTGGATTTATTAACAACCTGACAATTTGAGCTAATATTCTTTGAGACATCAATCGAATAATATTGAAATTCAAAAACAAGGTATTATAATCCTTGTGTATTCTGTCACATTAATGGAAGGTCTGACCAAAATGCAGAAAATTAAAGAAAATCCTGTGGAATATTGGACAGAAGACTTTAACCCAGTAACCAAAAAAAAAAAAAAAAAAAAAAAAAAAAAACTGAATTTGTGCCTGTTCTGACAAATAAATGAATTCTAAAGCGCAAAAAGCAACTTGTAGTGCAAGGATGAATTACAAACACTTCAGCCTGTTCAGCTATTTTCTAAGGCAATAAAGAGTATTTGATTCATATCAGAAATTAAAATGGGGGTTAACAGCTCTACTACACTAAATTCAAATTTTGTGTTTCTCAATGGTCATGAAATATTGAGTATGTCAGCTGAAGAACTGCAAAAGAATGAAGCAGATCTTGCCCAAAAATATGAGCGAGACCTAAACACATTGAGTTTTGCCAGGAACTCACTGTGATTAAAGAACAAACACCCATGCTATTCACTGACACAAAAACACTTAACACATTCTATTTTTTGCAACAGATCTACACCTATGATTTTCAGGATGCCTTTTATAATATTTGTATTATGCTGTGGATTTACTCTTTGCTTCCAAGAGCATCCACAAACCATGAGCAAAGTTTTAGCAAATTAAAACTTATTAAAAACTATCTGCAATCATTGATGAGCCAGGAGTTTTTATCAAATCTCATGATTCTGTCAATCGAAAATCAAACTGCATATAAAATTAATTATGATGATGCCATAGATTGCAGAATAAAAGGCTTGTAGAGTAAAATCTTATTTTTTGTTATTAATTCCATAATATTTTAATAGCATCAGAGGACAGGTAGGAATTTAAAATTAATAATAAAATAAAAAATATGGAAAGCAAGATAGGAAGTGTGAATACTAAGCTTTTCCTTTCAGTGACAGCCTGCATGCAGTTGCTGCACAAACTGCTGAGTGCTAAAAGCCACTGAACTCTGGTAGTTTGATCTGAAGTTCATGTCCTAGCAAGCACAGTGTCTGTATGGGTCGCTTCCTTGCTTTTTCCATGTATAACATAGATATGAGCCAATTCCCCTTAAAAAGTTCTCTGAGGGTATCCCTTCCTTTCCAAGTAGTGCCTAATGGTGAAACACACAATAAATAAATAAATAAACGGCCTCAGCAGTGGCTGCATGGGTGGTTTTTATGGTTTTTCCTATGTGTAACATGAACACCAGCCATTCTTCCTTAAAAAGTCCTCCACAAAGGCTTCCTTTTCTTAGGTAGATAGCCCTCATGACTTTGTCATATTCATATAATTTTACCAAACCTAACTAATATTCAAATAACCTAACCTCGTATGCAATGAATATAGAGTGGTAAGAATCTTAGGAGTGGATGATCTCCCTACAGCAGAACAGTGAATGGTGGCAAGGACAGGAGAATTATAAGTACTTGTGCCTGAATTCGAAGGTAAGCTCACTGGAAAGGCAACTTTCCTGGGAGATGTCACACAGGTTTTTAATTATGTAATTTTTGGTATGCATCTTTCGTTTGCATAAAAAATTGGCACATAAAGAATTTCTTAATATAGGATTTATTATATCTTTATCTCACCCGAATAATTTCTCTGTGAGGGTGGCAGTTTTAAGTTTTTGCCGTACCTCGTAAAAATCTAAGATACGGTGCTGATGCACCGTATCCCACTTTTCCACTTTTCCAATTTTTCAAAGAAAGTTAAATAAAATATTTCAGTCAGCAATTTTTTTATTGTTGGGTGTATAAAAATATTGCAGCCAATAATATTTTTAATATTGAGAAAATCATCAAATAAGTTATGTGCTTGTCTTTCTTTACAGTTTTGTTTTCTTTTCAGTCTGGTAAAAGATAGGCCAACTATAGTAACAAAATTCCAAACAGTGGTCAATTAAACAATTAATAAATTTTTACTAAATATTCTAAAGGTAAATAATATCAAATTTTATCAATTAAGATATAACACAGATAATAAAAAATGTGAAGCATCCTACAGCATAAGTTATCACATTGCTAAAAACAATAAAATGCTGAAAATTCAATGCTGCTTAATGCCTATTTAGAGAAAAAACATATTCAAAAAATTAACAACTTTCACTTCTGAAGCAATACAATTTCTTTAAGAAATTAAAATGTATCCAATGACTTTTAGTCAGTAATTGAAAAAAAAACGGGGTTAATTTTTTTTTTTCCTGCACATGTTGATGAGATAACTAGTATATTGAACCTTTCGAGATCAAGTCTTAATTTTTGCTTTAAATTTAATTCATATGAAATTATATATTCAGTTTAAAATAATTACACATTTAGTATTTTAGTGTGGTATAATATTATTTCAAGAATGCTTAGAATTTGAGTATAGGCCTAGATCTTATTAATAGTCAATAAATTCATTAATTCCTCTTTTTTTTTTTTTTTTTTTTTTTAAGAAAAATACTGCTAGTCAAAAATAATTATGATACATTAATGTTGTAATAATTAGTCTTTGTTTCATTATATTTTTCTTACTAAATTAGTACAGTAGTAAGATATATTGCATCAAACTGTAACAGAAGAGAGCAATAGCTTTGAGAGAGGGGAGAACAGAGGGTATTCTAATTTGCAAAGTCTCATTAAAGGGTGTGCTGGCAAATTGGATGTCCTTGAAGCATTTCATGTGCACAAAAAAAAAAAAAAAAAAAAAAAAAAAAAAAAAAAAAAAAAAAAAAATTTTTTTTTTTTTCTTTAGCATCCATTTATTACCAATCTTTCTGTACACTTTCAGGATTATACTTTTTATGTTTTAATTCCTATTTTCTACAATAGATAAAACTGTTTGTATTTGCTTTGTACCTCCCATTGGTTTTGGTGTAAAAATGGTTGTTACTTCTCTCATTTTGCATATAAAAAAAGGGAGATCTGTATCTAATTACCCTCGAAATCATTAGAGTTTTCATTCATAATTTCTGTCTAAGATTGCTTTGCTGCCTGATTTTAAATTAAACATTGGCATGCTCCTCTCCCACTTCATTGAAAATTAATTTTAAATTGAAACTAATTAAAAAAATAAGTGTAATTACATTGTTTTAATGTAGGGTGTTTTAATTAATTTTATTGATTCAGAATTTTCTTTGAGTACATAAAAAACTTTTAGCTAGTTTTTTATTTGATGCATTTTTAGTGGATGGAGAATTGGAAGATGATAACATAGTCAATGCTGTCAGAATATTTTTTGATGTTCTCAAAAGATTAGGGACCATGCGCAAAGGTTTGAAGAAGTATACGTAAGTATATTACTTATTGCTTTACAACTATTTTTTATGCTGATATATTAATGTGTAAATAACTGTTTAATATTTCTTTTTAATTCTTTTTTCATTCTTGCATTTTCATGATATGCAATTTTCCTCTTGCAGACATGTCTTTAAATCTACCAATCCTGCATACCCTGCTTCATATTGTCCCCTTTTAAAGCAATTGTTGAATGATATCTTCAATACTGCAATTCCTGATTTGCCAGATGTTGAATTTCATTCAGCTGGCCTGAAAGACTACCTCAAAACAGGATTTAGGTAAATTGGAATAAAATTAATGCAATTTCTTCAATGTTATGTGTTCTTTTTAAAAGCTATGAGTGAAGAGTAAATTTCAGAGTTCGGATATTTTATGATTTATTTAGAACTTTTCCTGTTTTACCTATCTATTTTATGATTAGTCCAGTGCTTCTGAATGAAACTTTTAACTGGAAGAACAACTTTGAAGTACTTATTAACAAGTCTAGCTTCCATTATGGGGGTGCATTGTAAGTTTTGTAAATGAGCTCCGTTCTAATCCTAGTCACAAAGATTTCTCTCTTTGAGTGCATACAGCCAAGCTGATCTCATTTTTGGAAATAATCAGGTGTACTCTAATTTGAAATGAGGAAGAATTGGGAAAAACGAATTTAGTAATACAAATGTTGTATATGATTCAGAACATAAAAATTCTTAACATAAGAAGAATTTCATTATTCACATAGTTTCATCTTAGTTGTTATTCCATGACACCTACAGGCTTACTTTCCCTGATGCCTGCAGACTATGTTTCAAATTCTCTTCATTTCAAAATGCTGACTTCAGCTGGGCATTTGCTTTTGTTTCATTCCTTCAGCTGCAGTTTACAATTGCATATAACTTGTTTCATTCTTTCAGCTTCAGTTTACAATTGCATACAACTTGTTCCACTCTTAGGGTTATCAAGAGTATATATGATTTCCTTTAAAGATGTCTAACATATGTAACAAAAATTATTGGAGAATTTGCAATGATGCCTTTAAATCTGCAATTGTCCCAACATCAAACAGGCTTATGCTGAAAGATATAGCATAACATATGCAAACTACAAAAGATAAAAAATTATATTCAGTATGTAAACCAGCAAAATTCTTAATTCTTCATCTAATATGTAAAATTCATAGTATTTAGTTGTATTGCACTTCTTCTGTTTAGTCCACTAAGAAGTTTTAAAGAATCATTAGTTTATAATTCTTTCATGCACTCTGAAGTGGAGAATAACATCACATGCGACTTATAGTATGGACATGTACAACATTTTATATTAAATCTTCCATATTACATTAACTAACACACCAAAGAACAAATATTAAAGATACTGAGTAAGTTTATGCTGATTCTTGTTGCTCCATATCTCAACACTTCCATGTCCAAAATGTCCATCGTTAGTAAAAGCTTAATTTTGCTGTCAATCTGAAATATACTATCTGTAAAAAACATTGGCTGGAATATTAGTGGAAATATTCCTTTGCATAGTTGATCATAAAATCTATCTGGTTGTTCAGTTCCACTTAGCGCATGAAACTTTGTTTTTATTATCTTAATTGGCATTTTCATGATGAAGTCGATATGGAGGGGAGGATTATATTACGATTGCATCATTCAGTTTGCAGTGTTACTGTCTTCTGAAATACTTTTTAAATGAAGCTACATGCATTGGCATTACAATTATGTATCTCATATTATGCAGAGCAATATTATAAATAGATATATTTCTGAATTTATAGTAGAAAAAAAAAAAAAAAAAAAAAAAAAAAAAAAACAAAGATAGGTTGAATCATGAATTTCTTTGAATTTGAATCCTGAAATATTTTCCGATTTTTTTAAAATAGGAGATCTCTCAAATCCTTCAAATGAAGTAACAAGACGAGGAAAACAAAAGGCTTTCATTTAATAGTAAAATAAGTATATGAATACATTTCAAAAGTGCACTTATGTTTATTTATAAAAATGCAAATGAAATTTAGTTAATGAAATATATAATAAATTCTTGAATATTGAGGTTCATAAAAAATCATAAAAAAATTTGAGCAACACCTCAGATTTCAACTAAAATCTCAAAATTCAGCAGCCATAGCTGCATAGTTCAATTGGTAGACAACTTTAATCATGTTTGCTATGTAATATTTATATATCATGGCATTAGCTTTTAGAAACATCTAAGAAATTATTATTATAAATTATTATTTTTACGTGGAGTCCTGAAAAAAGTAACAGCTTATTTTTAAAGCAGTATTCCTTTCTCGAAGAGCATGTATATAAGCCAGTTTCCTTTATTAAGTTATTGAAAAAAGCATCCATTTTCTTCAACAGACAGCCATCATGGGCATTGCTAAGTTCAAGCAACATTTTATTGAACAGCAGTTTCTCTTTAGCCCATGGCTTGTCACATTTCACTTATTTTTTTTTTCCTTTCTAGATACATGCCTTTGAATTAAAAAGAAACTGGATCTATTTTTGTAAATTAGTAATTTTTGTAAATTTATTTCCACGCTCGCACGAAAAGTTTTTGTAGCTGTTGTGTTTGCAAAAACTGTTACAATTCCTTCTTTTGAATCCCACCAGCGGCCAAGTGACTGCTAAATAAGAATTTGACTTGGTTTCAATACCAGGTGAACAGGATGACTGTATGGTAGATTTCTGTGGTTTTCCCAATATACAAGCAAGTTCACCTTAGAAAGTACTCCAAAAAATATCCATTCCCTTAGGAAGATTATCTTTGTGTGCTTTCTTACATTCAAATAATCTAACATAAACTTCTTTTGATTGCAGTATACTCCTGCTAAAACCATTCAACAATTATAAACGGGGAAAGAAGTCAGAAGTAAAATATTTTTCTATCTGAAAAAGAATGTTCAGTGCATTATACAGAAGTAAATGTTAGCACATGAATAACACAAGGAAAAAAAGGTGAATTCTTGCTAATTTACATCAAATATTTCTTTTAACATGATGTAAATAAGAAATTGTGACACAGAAAATCTAGTTGTGGCTCTTGAAATTTCCCGAATCCTAACATGCAGTTCCTACTGTACTGAAGTTTGGCCACCTTGGTATATATATAGACTGACTGGCGAGGGGCCTAAAAACATTTGTTTTTTAAATTTTTCTATCATTATACCCCCTGAAAAGTTGCCTATTGCCTAACTAAGCAAAATGGAAAAAAGCAAAAGTTTCAAATAAAATTATATCTTTCGTTTGTGCATCGCAGTTTTGAAAAATTGTTAAATTTTCTCAATTTTTTATCGTTACTAAACTCACTATTATTGAAATGATATAAGTCCTAATGTGAATTTTGAATCGTGAGAAACACAGAAAAGTTTAGAAGTCTATAATTTCAAATTATTTATTGATTGTGCAAAAAGCTCACACAATTTTATGTAAAAATAACAGCATTTTGTACTTTTTCCTACAACCCTTTTAAACATTAACTATAATTATCAACTATTATGTAACTGCATAGTGTAATTCTAAATATTGTGCATATTGCAAATATTATGTAACTATGTATGTGATAATTGATTCAGACAATTCTCATATCATTGGCAAAAACAAAATAAGAAGAGAAAAATCTCGTGATAAAAGACACAGGGTTGCCACGCTACCTGGAAAACCGTGAGAACCGGGAAAAGTCAGGGAATTCGAAAATTGACCAAAAAATTCAGGGAAAAGTCAGGAAATTTAAGTATTTTTGTCAAAATCTGGAAAAGTCAGGGAAGTTCATACAATGATTCCGCCAAAAAAAGCGATTTTTGCGCCGACGTCGGAAGAGATAACTTTTTTGGCGAATTGCCTATCACGTAAGTGTCTGCTGGCATAGAGCCAATTTTCGCAGCTCTAATTTGATTGCCTTTTAGAAAGGCAAAGCAAGTTTCCCGCAACTTTTGGTTTCCAGTATTCTCGAGAATCGCATGTGCAGTGTATGAACTAAAGAAAGTACCTGTTCTCGTATAGAACAAAATGGGTTTAATCTTAGTATACGGTACCATGGAGGTTAGAATCAAAGAATATGTATTGTAAAGAAGGAAAAACTCTCTGCAACAGACTTGGTTCCGTTCCATCATAGAGGGAAACAGTTGTGCATGCGTGATATATCTGCCGCCAAAGCTGGAAACCGGTGTCGAAGTTCGAAGGTCACGTTATCAAGAGTTCATTAAATGAATATCCTTTAAAATTTCTTTAATCACTTGCGCTAAAAAGACGTGCCACGCACGTCGAGATGTTTTTGTTTCAAACTGCGAGCGACGTGAACACCACGTCGATAAGCATTTATCGCAAAAATGAAAATAACATGGTGCACACGTCGCCTAAGAACGATATTGTTTATTTCTCGAGTTACAGCTCTAGATTGCACTCGAGATGCGGAGCGGCGTAAATGAGACACTTTACAACTTGCTATATTGTAGCGCACGGGCACCGCAAAAAACCGTGTGAAGTTTAGTCTTAGCGCAAGTAGTTAAACTCTAAAATTAAAAGAAAATATTTTTTGGCGCAAGTAAATTAATTCATAGGTTAGTAATTTTCCAGGGGGGGGAACTATGAAAATCCGTTTTTAAAATTATTGCGAAAGATCCAAGAAGAAACGTCCTTTGAATAAAACGTTTCTTCTTGGATTTTTCGCAATAATTTAAAATCTGAAACGGATTTTCAGATTTAGCTTTCTTTTTTGTCAAAGAACGTTTCTTCTTAACATGTTTCTCAATTTCCGGTACACATCGCGGAGAAGGGAAATTCTGGCCGCCAGGTTTCCGCCGCCAAATCCCTTGGCAAATTTTCCCTCCGCATTCTAGCCGCGTAATAGGCATTTTACTTGTATGGAAAATTTTCTTCTTTACATAGACATTCAAAGAATTAGAGATAACTTTGCATAGACGTTCTTTTGGTTAAAATCCAGGTACGGTACACATGTATGGATTTGGCGTCATTGATGATGCGCGGTAAACGGGTCATTTTGGTGTTGCCGACAATTTTCAAAATCGTGCCAAAGCCTTACCGTATACTAGAATTTTACCGCAAAATCTTTTTTAAACTTTTCTTTTTAATAATACCCTTGCCATTTTGCACTAAAATAGAAAAATAGTAATCTGTCATCTAGGCTAACCATTGTAATATAACTATATTCGCTAAAATATTCGTTGATTATTCTAATTCAATTTTTAAGTAATTATCTTTATTTTTATGTTATTCGTATCATTTAATGTTTGCTTCTTCCCTCTAAATTTATTTAATTATTTAGTAAATAATACTTTCTAAATTTCAGGAAATTTTCTCTGGCATAATCCTTGAAATTAATTCTAGCAGTATGATGACATACCATCACGAAATTTAATGCACATATTTTTTTTTCTTATGTATGCTGCGAACTAAATATAAAATACCTCAATTTCTTAAAATAGATTTCTTTCTTTCGTTTACCTGCAGAATGTCTGCTAAAAAAGCCTTATTTTATTCCAGATTGGGAAGATTCTAATCTCAATCTTCAATGGAGAAAACAACAACTATTATAATTATATTTGTGTTTTCAAGTGTTAAGGTGCTTTTTAAGAACATACCTCACACAAATTAAATTTACCTAAAATCTAACCTAACTATTTAGCATTGCGTTGTGATTTATAAGGACCGGATTAGCCTCGTGTTGAACTGGTGATGATCATGAGTAATTTTTAAATAAAACATACATTTGTTATCCAATGTATATATCTTAATTTATTAAGTTTTTCTTAAGTGGAAAAGTAAACAAAATTATCAAACAAAGTATACCAAGAATAATTAAGAATAAATGTCCTCTGGGATTTATTGAATAATTAAGTGAATTTGCTACACAATACAAGTAATACCATAATTTATCTCTTAGCGTAGCCAACGTACATTACGCGGATAGACGAATTTTCTTGAAACGCACCTGAAAAAGTCAGGGAATTTCATTCTCCTGTTTGAGTGGCAACCCTGAAGAAATGATGACATGGTCGTAATTAAAAACACTGATTCAAAGTGTTCTCAAAGAACTGAAAAAGAAGACCATCATTTCCTCATACTAGCACTAGAATCAGAATATATCATCTATGTTTCACTGCCCATCAGCAGCCAAGCTGTAAAGTAGTAGAATGCTAGTAGCTTGGTCTGGGGTTCAAATTCTAACAAATGGGCTGGCTACATGAGCATTTTCATGTTTTTTGCCATGTGTAGCATGTATACAATCCCTTAGAAAGTCCTTCACAAAGGCATTCCTCTACTTAGACAAATAGCCCTCGAGTGCCCCCAATTTTGTATACAGAGTTACATTTTAGAATAATGGAAGATACTGCAAAGCATCGAACATCTTTCAGCTAAGTGATAGAAGAGTGGAAGATGAGAGTGTGCATCAAATAGCTGAGTTATTTATAAGCTTGGTTCCTTTGTTTAAGTTCTGAATGATGACTGAATAAAAGCTCACAGCAATGCGGATCTCTACAGGAAATTAGTAACATCAGTGCAGATGCTGTGAAGGGAGTGTACTTATACTGAAATCAGAAATTTAAATTGTCAATTAAGTTAGTAATTTCTTCCAATTAAATTTAATTTTTTAATAATTTTTCTTTATATTTTATATCTTACATTCATATATATTTTGCTGTACTTATTTCTTTTTCCCTAAAATTAAGTTTGAGTTCTGTTATTTAGCCCTCATAATTATCATTGCAAAATTTAAGCTTTAGGAAATTTTCTGGTATGTAACATGTATGAAATATTAGTTAAAATTGTAGGAATTACGATACTGAGAAGTTATGTTATTTTATGGCAGCATAATGTTTAAATCAGGCTTTATATTTTTTAATGTTATTAAATGAGAATGGATGATATATGGACATGCTTTTCCTGATATGGACTTTTATCTTTACTTAATATAATAGTTATCTTTACTTATGATATATGGACATGCTTTTTATTGCTTTTATTGTGCTAAATAAAGTGTAAAAGGAATAAATTTAAATTCTTGAACTAACAAAATTACATAATATATTACCAGAAAGGATGCACAAAAAAGGATGATATGTTTTTCTTACAGCTTATTTATGAATGTGGCAAAGCCTCAGCCTCGAGACAATCCTGTAATTTTTCTTATTATTCTTGGTGGCATCACTCCTGCAGAAATAAAAGCAGTTCAAGAAATAGCTGCTCATCAGAAAGGAACAGAAGTATGTGTTCTTTTATGAAATGATGATTCTGTATATGTTTGAAATCTTGATTTATATGCATGTACATGGTAAGTTTTAAGTTTGATAAGCATAAGCTTGCAAAAGAAATTTGAGTGAAGCCTCATTTAATGTGATTAATTCAGCCATCAATTAATTTAAATTAAGGACACATAATCAATAATAAAAATGATTATAATTCATTCAGCAGGTAACTATATATAGAATGTAAGTGTAAAAAAATGCTGTAAAATATATTACAAGACTGAATCTGCAGAGTTTTAAAAGTTAGTTACGTTTTATTGAGAGATTCCTTTACAAAAATATTAGGGTATTTGAATAATGAAGTTTTTCATCTTAATATAATACATGGTATCTGCCAGTCATTTTTAATCAAGGTTTAAATGCTTTTAGAAACTGTCAGTTTCAAAATTTCCCAGACTGGTCAATGAGATTGAAAATTAGTTGGTGTACAGTTGGCTTCATAATCTAGGGTCTAATTTCAGATTTGAAACTAAATTGGGGAATCTCAATGAGAAGAAATTTATCTCCTTAGGAGAAACTAATATTCAAAATGGGCAATGTTTTATTTTCAGTTCCAGATTATGTGTCATGAATGTTGATATCTACACAGTATTTTTAATATCATAGTTATCTTTACTTAATCAGTTGTAGAAAGCAGGAATCATATCATTCTACTCAACTGTAACAACTAAGTCTTGCTTATATGAAATTCTTGTTAAACGAAGTTTTCACATAATAGACACATATGGTATGCAAGGGAACCATACATTGCTGTTATATGAATTAATGGAAGTTTTGAATGTAAGAAGTTGGATTCAATACAGGTTGGCTGTCAACTCATTGTACTCTAATAACAAGTATATGTAAATATGTGAATGCATAAGAACCTAAAACAACAGAAAGTCATAGTTAAGTAGTACCGACACCTACTTTGCAGGTGACAGTACTAGTTCTCTTAGACAGTGTATAGTTACTTCCACTGTACTTGGTTACTTCCATACACTGTTCCATACACAGTTCCATACACAGAATACAGTTCTCTGAGACAGTGTATGGTTACTTTCACACACTGTCTCAGAGAACTGTATTATATATTCAAAGCTTTTTAGTAATATTGTGATAATTTTGGAAACCATGAGTTTTTATTCAGAAGTTGTAATGTTATGGTAAACTCTTTTTTTTAATTATCAATAACTCCTAGGCTTACCTTGTGTGTGTTTATACATGTAAAAGACAAAAAATGAGAAATACCTAATCATCAGATTATGTTAATAGCAGTTGCAATTCAGTCTCTGTGATATATTGATAAAAAAGTGCAACTGATGGGTAAATATAACCTAACATTGTAAATTATGTGTGTGTAAAGATAAAATGGAGATTCTGCTGTCTTGTAGTAGTGCCCTTAAGAATTAAGCCAATAGAAAACATCAGTTAGTTTGAATAGAAATCATTTTTAATGTGAGGCTGGCTGGTGCATTCAGGGTCAGAACAGCTCAAACTACATGTTCTAGTCCATCAACAGTATTGAAGGTTATACACTGACTACCAATAAGTATTTGGACACCTGTGATAGAAAAGAAAAACTAACTTTATTCAAAATCAATAGTTGGTAGAGCCTCCACGAGAGGTAATTATAGCGTGGACCCTCCGGGGCATACTATCCACAAGTCTTTCTATGACAGCTAGTGGTATTTTCTTCCACTCGGCTTGGAGAAGACATAGAAGTTCCTTCACCGATTTTGCCCGCGTAGTGCACCCCTGAATTTGGCAATGCAACTCGTCCCAGAGGTTCTTGATAGGGTTCAGGTCTGGACTCTGGGCAGGCCAGTCCATTCGATGAACTCCATTGGCACCATACCAAGCCTTGGTTAACGTCGAAATATGACAACTGGCATTGCCGTCCTGAAAGTAACAGGGGTCCAACCCGTAAAACTGCCACAACGTAGGAAGCGCATTGTCATCCAAAATAGTGCAGTAGGCATCGGAGTTGAGCTTACCATGAATGGGCACCAAGGGTCTCAGCCCATACCAGGAGAAACATCCCCAGACCATAATTCCACCTCCGCCGAACTTGACTGTTGGCACAATGCATTCTAGCAGGAGACGTTCTCGAGGTAGACGCCAGACCCGGACCCTGCCATCCGAACGGTAAAGGGTGAACCTTGATTCGTCACTCCAAAGAACTCATTTCCACTGATCTACGGTCCAATTTCGATGTGCTTTGCACCACATTAACCGAGCAGCGCGGTTGGACTTTTTGATCAAAGGCTTATGGGCAGCAGCACGACCATGAAAACCAAGCAGATGTGCTGCCTTATGGATGGTATTCATTGAAACAATACTCCCGGATGCCTGTTGAAACTCCTCGTGGATGAGGGCCATTGGTTGGGTGCAGTTCTTCCGAATTTCTTTGGACAGCACTCGTCGGTCTCTATCTCCCAGTTTCATTGGTCTGCCGACTCGGAGAACATGCCGACAATCACTGCTCACCTTCCACTTCTTAATCACATAGGCCACTGTTGATTTTGCATACTTCAGATTGCTAGATATGTCTCTTAAGCATCGGCCACATTTGTGATACCCAATAATTATACCTTTATCGAAATCAGAGAGCTCCGAACTGCGAGGCATCTTGCATGCGACTAAAGCCGATTCTGTTTCCTACACGATATATACTGGCGGAGTCCGGGATGTACCTTAGAACCGCAGATATCGTCATTTGCATAGGTGTCCAAATACTTATTGGTAGTCAGTGTATCAGCATGAATAATCCACCCCTCCACCCAAAATATCATCAATTAAATATGGCAGTAGATTGAAATTGTTCTTGTAAGAGAAAAACAGAGAAACATTATTGTGTTACGTCAAGGAAAACAAGTAGGTTGTTGCTAAATAGTAGTGTAAATTTTTTTCAACACTATTTGTTAGGAACCATATAACATCTGGACTGGAAACTGGAAAAATCTGGATATAACAGTCAAATAATCTTATGCATTTCTTTTGTTACTTTTATCAAGATAGTTTTAGGAAAACAAGTAGGTTGTTGCTAAATAGTAGTGTAAATTTTTTCAACACTATTTGTTAGGAACCATATACATCTGGACTGGAAACTGGAAAAATCTGGATATAACAGTCAAATAATCTTATGCATTTCTTTTGTTACTTTTATCAAGATAGTTTTTTGTATTCATTTGAATAAATGTAATAACAGTGGACTACTAAGCTAAGAGTAGCTAAGAAGAATGGAGAGCTGTCATATAAACTGATGAATCTGTACTCACTCTTTTTGCCACAAATCTGTGTATGCCTTATAGAAGAAGCCAATTGAAATATTTGTATCTAGCTATAAATATTTCTATACTTCTAAGACAATTTAGAGTGCATTCATACATAATAATTTAATTTCTTATTAGAAAGAGCAGTGAATACTGTGCATTTCATCAGAATAATGATTTACACAGGGCCATCTTAACAGATTCATGAGCCTCTGAACTTTTGTAATATTAGGGCTTCCACTCTAATTTTCTCTAGATTAACAATAAATTTTCTAAAATGTGGGTCTCTGTACCGGGTCTACATTTTGGAAAAATTGTGATGAACATATATTGAGATGACATCAGGCTGCAGAACTTACTGAAGGTATGTCTTGTCTGCTGTGGCCTATCCAATTGGTCAGATTACATTGCATTCAATGTTCAAGAGACATTAAACAGACCTTTTATGAATGTTTCTAATTTTAAAGAAACAAGGGTGGATTAGTTGATCTCTGTCTGATGAATATGTAAAATTCATCTTCTTCACTTTTGTCATATATCAGAATCGGTAGTAAAAGCTTTCATTGAATTATCTGCTACAAAAGGCTTTTATCTTAAAATATTAGATAATTTGGTAACTATGTTCTTGATAAAAGAAATGCCAAGGAATAATAGAACTTCTGCTCATGCTATGATCAGTCATGATATACAGAACAAAGTTATATTAAGTCAGAAAAGTTGTCTCTGCAGCAAATGTTGTAATACTTTTAATTGTAACTCTTTATTGGCATTGGAACATAGAACTCAGGAATATGCTCACATTCATTATGATATTTTTTCATGTATTATTTGTAATTTTATTGATGAATTATTAATAAAAGTGTACTCATAACAATGTATAATATTACTTTGTTTTCTTTCAATTTCAAAATTTGCAATTTTTGAATATTTTAGGTCATAGTGGGTTGTACAAATGTCCTAACACCTCCAGATGTACTTCGAGATTTGGGCTTGATTGTAAAAGAGCTTTCAGCAGATTGTTATGAAAATAATGATTTCCCTAAATAATACAAAAAGAAATGTACAAGGTCATCTTGTAAATAAAATTATTTTTCTAGTTGTTAAAAGGCTTCAATTTGAATACCAGTGTTATATTAATGTTGTGTTTACCCTTTAATTATTTTCTGAAAGTTTGAAATGGATTAGCTCTTTAATATATGTTTATAAATATATAAGAAAACTTAAAATATTTCAATGGAAAATAAAAATGCATTTATTTTTCTAAATATTTCTCTTTGAAATATGAAAAATGTACACAGACTTTTAGAATTATTTATAAAATATATTTATTAATATAAAATTTAAAATTCCTTCAAAAGTACTGATACCTTATATATTACTGGAAATACTTTTAAAAAATATTTGATTTAGTTGCTATCCAGACTTACAGTGTCATTTAGACTTTAACACTACAAGTATGTAGTATTTAACACTACAATTATGTAGTGTTTAACACTACAAGTCTAGTGGATAGCTAAGAGATAAAATCAAAAATATTGTATATACTGCAGAAATGAACTGCATGTCTGTAGTTCCATCAAATCATTAAAATCATTAGTTTGGTTTTCAAGGCCAGTCATAGTGACCTCTTTCAGTATTTTTCCCACCCCTTGCTCATGAAATGTTCCAGGATTTTTACTGAGTGGTTGATTGTTGGTCTTTAATTGTGCTGTAAAAAATATTTATTCTTGAAAATGCTTCCTTGGTCATTACAAAAGAATTTCATCTGTAATTTTCTATAAAAAAGGAAGTAGTTTTATTCTATTTGTATTCTTTTATATCAATCATTTTAATTTGCAAAAAAAAAAAAAAAAAAAGTGTAAAAAGAAAGATACCGTGAACATAGTTGTAAAACTTCTCCAAAACTAATAAAACATAAAATGATCAGCACAGCTAAACAGATCACACAGTTCTGTAAGTTAAATTAATTTACAATATACAACATTAATACTTAGTACAGTCAAAAGTCGTTAATCCGGACTCGTTGGAACTTCAGCGATTCCGGATTATCGATTTTTCCGGATTATAGATCATCAGCTTAAATCTGGTAAGATGGCATGCAAAAATTATAAAATTAAAAATATGAAACCATAATTTATGTAATAAAGAACAATTATGATCTAAAGGGTATCAAAATTTACAAAAAAGAAGCGTAATATTTATTTGTTTACTTTATTAAACATTTCTTTCAATTTAAATTGTTTAAGTTTCTTCGTTTCATGTTATAATACTTTCTCTTTAATTCTATTAAATAGACATGATTTCTTTCTCAGTCACAAAGTTCCACTGTTCAAGTCCTATAATTGCTGTGTCGAGAATACAGACTAATTTGTCAATCGAAATTTTTTCGTTTTCAATAATCTCTGTGTCACATTCTTCACTATTGGAAGCGAATTATGATGACGAGGAACTTGATTTAAATCATATCAAAGACAGAGTACATAGAGATGAAATACTACATTTAGTAAGGAATTATAAGCCAAATAAAATAAAACCATCTGCCCTGAAGATAAGGATAGTGCTGATAGAACAACTTCCAATTCATTGCGCGCCGTGGCGTCCCCCCTCCCACCGCAGAGCAGCGTGAAATTGATAAACAGATTTCGGATTTCGAAACATACTTTCGCTTTGTAGATCCTTTACATAATAGTAAATATATATGGGAAATTCTATTTGACATAATCGAAAGTTCAAGCTTACTTTTATAAAATTGCTCTAACAGTCTGCAAAAAATAATAAGCCAGATCCAATTCGAAGATTAAGGAATAACGCAATCTGCAACATTAATTGAATTAGATAATTTTAGCTTAGCTTATACCGTCTGTTATACATTAAACGCGCATGCGTAAACGTATTATGCGCATGCGCATGCGCACACACATATTCGCAGCCGTAAAGGTCATACGTACAGACGCATGCGCAGAAAGTTTGTAGCTTTGAGGTCTGGATTATAGATCATTCTGGATTATGGGTGTCCGAATTAACGACTTTTGACTGTATCTACTGAAAGAACTTTATGATAACATATATAACCATATAATATATATTATATAATTATGATCAGTTTTCATTGGTAAGTGCTTTAATTCATAGTCTTGTATAATAGAAAACTTTCATTAAAATTCTTTTATATTGCAAAAAAAGAGTTGATTTAATAAAAGTTAATTACACTAAATGAAATTTTCCATAAAACTAAACACTTTTAATAAATAAATTATTCACTTTAATAATTAATAATTATTATCACTTAATATGTAACTTATGTGATATCTATTTTCAGGAAATTATTTATTCACCTAATCCTTTTCACTAAATTTCTTTTACTATTGTAATTTTACAGGTATAAACTCTTCACTGAATAAACAAATTTTACTATGGTGCATTTTTTTTTTTAACGCCGCTACATTTTCATTTTTGTTTTTTTATTGTTCATTTTTAATTCAGTGCAGTTTTCATAAAGAACTTTGCATTTAATTATGTAATTAAATTTAGTGATTTCAAAAACTATTTATGCTAAAAGAAACCACAAAATTATTATTGATATTGCTTCAAAACATTTTATATTTTTATTCTTATAGTATAGGCATGTGTTGGTGTTGAGAGTGATAGATACTTATCAGTATTGCACTCATGAAGAACATTTGGTATAACTGAATAACATCAAAATTTTAATGAATTTTTCCATATGACTTAACAAGAGAAATGAGCACATGTATGCCAATCTATAATCATGGGGAAAACAAGATGAGATAACAGGTGGTAATTGGCTCTCTGACATCATATCTCTGTCCACTTGGCCTTATACTATTATGTTTGTTGGCAGGCACTTCTGTGATTTGATGCATTGCTACAAAATGGAATACTGGCCAGTACTGGAATCTCACACTCTAGTGGACTCTGGTTATAATTTATGTCTTTGACTGCTACAACCAAATCAGCATTTCAGTGCCACATAACACCATACCATGACAGCAAGAACCACAACTGCAGTCACATCAGTCTCACTTCCATTAAGGATTATATACAGTTACTTTTTTCCTTTTAGCACTGCTCAGACATGAAGGGAACCTGTATCATATAGGCATTTTATTTTCTGTCTGGTTGGATTAAAATCAGTTTTTCTAGGAGTTTTGTTATTTACCTAAGCCTGATAAAATATAAGCAGAAATAGCTAATGAACTACAGTCATTGTACTTGTATTTAATAATTTCATTAGATTTAAGGAATTTTTTTTTTTTTTTTTTTTTTTTTTTTTTTTTTTTTTTTTTTTTTTTTTTTTTTTTTTTTTTTTGTTATAAAAAAACTGCAGAAATAGTTGAATAGGATCTGTTGGGTTTTGAATATTATTTATATTTGTGGGACTATTTTGGAACTCTGTTTTGGAAATGTCTGTTTCTATTAACTATTTATTATTTGGAACTCCATTTTGAAAGAAAATTATGTGTATGATTACAAGCATAAAATCTGGATATTTTATTTAAATTAGATTTGTGATGATTTAAATATTAATCCGAAAAAGATGAAAATGTCGACTAGAAAAATTTGAGCATTTGTATTGCAAAAAGCTCCACACAACTAATTAAGGAATAAGCAAAGTTAAAAATTAATTGAAATTATAAATATTACTGACTGGTACTTAATGTATTATCCCATCGACCGTGAAAGTTGGCTACCATTGAACCACGAAAGTTGGTTGAAATCCCACCAAAGTTGCACCAGTCGTTCCTGTGGAATTCTGGGCCATATTCTGCAACTCTTACAATAAAACATTCATCAATTTCTTTGTGTAATCCTGCACTAGTAGCTCTGCCTACGTTCGAATTTAAATTAAGGTGTTGGCTGCATGAGAATTTTTGTGGTTTTCCTCATGTGTAAAGCGGATACAAGTCTTTTCCTTAGGAAGTCCTCCACGAAGGCATCCCACCCTTTATGCAAATAGCTCTTGTGTGCGTTGCCATAAACCAAACTGAACCAAACTTCTGCATTATCCACTGAATAATCACTGCCACAGAAGTATTCGACCCGCTTCGCGTTTGGGCTTCGTGAAAAACTTCAGTCTATTTCTCTTTGTTGGGTCTAAACGGAAGCTCTGTTTAGAACGTAATGAAGGTAAACTTTCCGCAGGTGATTGTTCCCATTCAACAGATGTTAATTATCTCGGCCGAAAATGAATCTGAGTTCAGTCACAAATATGATCCTACAGCTTTCAAACTGCTCCCCTCTCCAAAGCTCATCCAAAAAAATCCAGTAATAATAGCTAATTTACATCTTCGTTAATAAAAGCAAATTTTGTTAATAAAACAGTTTGGAGTATGAGTGTATTATAACGTCATGTTTATCTGTAACTGGCGCTAGATCGTCCTGCTTCACAGTATTTTCACGGTCTTCCGAAGAATATGTTAGTATCTTATTATTTATGTAGTATTAGGTTGTAATATTCACATATATTTTTCTTTTAATCTTCTATAACATTAGGGTATCCTCTATACTTTTTAAAATCTAAGTATTCAAATTTTATGTTTCAAATGCTTCATAAAAAATTCTATTTTCTTTGTACTAAATCAGATTCTGCTTCTTTGATTTAAGCCTGTGGGAGGAGATGTCTTTAAGGAATATACTTCAAGGAAAATTAACCTTGTTTTTGTTAATGACGAAAACCTCATATAGCTAAACAGTTCAGTCCCAGAAATAAAACCCGAGGTAATCTATTAAATTTTGTAGCTTGAGCATTTTAGTCACTAATTTTGGCCATTCTTCCCTTTTAGTAAGGTAATACTATTTATGTTTTATTACCAGAGATGTTGTCGCAGCGTATGCCTATAAATTTAAAATTGGAAAAAAAAAAAGTATTGCTTTTTAACTCATTCGTATAGTAAAACCTAATAACTGCATTTAGTATGCTCTAAATCATCGATATTAGTATCAGAAATTTAAAACGAAATTAATTGCAGGTTGTGATGTCCTCTTACTTTCTTGCACATACCCCACTTTAAGAAGATAGTGCTTGCTGTCAAATTACAGCATCAGTCGAAGAAGACTTTCTTCCATCCCACAGAATGAGATTTGGGGGTTAACTGCATG